GGAGGAGGAGGAGGAGGAGGAGGAGGAGGAGGAGGAAGAGAATTTGTTCCATGTTTCTGGGAACAACAGCCATGTTCATTTCATCACCTGATGCTGAGTTCACCAACAAAAACAAAATTTTGCCAGATGCCTCTGTTTGCAAACCCAGTTGTAAACAGAAGCGTTTGCATGAGGCGAACGTGATAACCACTTCACTACGGGAACAGCCAGAAGTGTTTGTGAACCGAGGTGCCGCTGCACTCGGGCCTCACCAACAGGCTCCTGCAGACACACCCTTCCCCGTGGAGCCTGAGACCTAACGGATGACAATACATGTCAGGCTGTAACCAGGAGAGGTGCTGGGCAAGGGTGGGACACGAGGAGATGCTGTGGAAGGCTTTGTGACACAAGCTCTGTTTCCTGGGGCCTGGGAGATGGCTCAGTGGAATAAGCACTTCCCTGGCAAGCACAAGGGCCTGAGTTCAATTCCCGGTTCTGCCTAAATAAATAAATAAATAAATTTGTTCTTACAAGCTCGATTTCCTGCAACTGCATTGATACTAAAACTGCACGGAGTTAAATTTGTAACATATTGTGTTTGTTCAGGGAAACAACATCTTGCCGTCTTATCACAGCGCCACCTGACATCATGTCGGAGGTTTGGGACGCTCTGAGCCCCAAAGGAAATGGGTTTGCTAAGAGCAAATAGAACTGGAAATATTACATAAGACACATGTCTATTCTGTGCAATGTGCTAGGTAGATACTAGGAACGAGTTTGAATAAGACCCAGACTCCGGACGTTAGACCTAGGAAACACGCAGCAATTATTAATAGAGGTGAGAGACAAAGGAAATCTTTCATTACTGGAGGAACACAAGACTGCTGCAGGACGGAATGTAAAGCCAGCAGCTGACCATGGAAGCCTTCCTCCTCTGGGCTTCCCTCCTGAGTTGTGGCCAGCCTTCCTGGCAGCAGGTGCCACACTTTCTGCCTTCCTCAGCCTCGAAGAAACACGTTGTTCTGATCTTCCACAAGGGGCATTCTGTCCTGACCTTGCAACTGAACCAAGGCCTAAGGTCCCTGAAAGCTGTAAGCAAAGCGCTAGCGGGGCGGGCATGTTGCACCCTGTCTATAACCCCAGCACTCGGGAGGCTGAGGCAAGAGGAGGGCTGTGAGTTCAAGGCCAACCTGTACTATGTAGCAAGACCTTGTCTCAAAAAAAAAAAAAAAAAGAAAAGAAAAGAAAAAAGTAAAGCCATATTAATACGATGAGCTATAAAAGGCTCAAGTCAATAACTTCTGAGGATAACCCACTACTGTTATGGACTACTGGACAGTGTTGGATTGTTTTGCTGAATTCAAGCACCTATAGTATTTAGATGCCAACAGAATACCCACCTCTGACAGGACTAAATAAAAAAAGGGAATACAAAGGAGAGACAATTTTATATCTGCATATACAGAATAGTTAGGGTAGATATACAGCTACTTTCGCTTAATTCAAGAGAAAAAAGACTTGTACTAATAGTGTTTGGACAGGATATCCTGTCTGCTTCTTATACTTTGGATAACCACTAAGAAGATGACAATGAACAATGTATTAATTATTGAAACTGTCCTATTAATCAGCTTTAAAACTGTCTCATTGATATTTGTTTCCCAATAAAATAAAGTGCTGTCAGTAATGTTCTTAGTTTTTAACCTTAAAAGAGTCCTAACCCCACCCCACCCCCCCACACACAGTTAGCTTCAGGTAGAAAACACTGCTGCCTTTGGATGGCTCAACAAGGAAGGTGAGAGACAAAGGAAATCTTTCATTACTGGAGAAACACATGACTGCCGTAGGTATTCCAGACAAAAGAGGAGAGAGGCTCTGTGACAGATTGGTCTGAGACACAGGCCATCTTGAAAAGGCTAATAGCATTCGAGCCCTGATTTCCTTTTTTTTTTGTTCCTCAAACGCCTTAGGGGCACTTTTGGCCAGCATGCGAGTTGTGAGGTTCGAACTCCAGCAACCTGAGGCTGACAGCTTTGTGGAAGCAGCCACTTAAACAACTGAGCTAAGGCCAGGCCCCCCCTGATTTCCTTTTATATTTTTCATTTTAATTAAGAAAAGAAAGGAGCCAGAGTGATAGCTCAGTGGAATAAGTGCTTGCCTGGCACTTATCCTGAGTTCAATCCCTGACACCACCAAAAAAAAAAAAAAGTGTCTCATAAGGATAAAGAGGGTTTCAAACAAGAAGGGGCTGAGCCCCAAGGAGCCTGGGACCAGCACTACTCTCCCTTAAGACTTTTCCCCTCTTCTTACCTGTCCTCCCTGTGTCTGCTTCTCTCTCTCTCTCTCTCTCTCTCTCTCCCCCCCCAGCTCTGCAGACCCCCACAGCGGTAGAAGGTAGTCATCCTACAATATCTTGGGACCATTGATTCTCTTGGCCTCTAACTTTTCAGCCTCTGGAGAAAGCTTGGCCTATTTGGATCCCATTTCC